GTACATGTTATCTTTTTAATTCATAGAATTTACTCATTAAACGAATGAGATAAAAATGCGTTATGCGTGTTTAGGCATATGCAAACATAAAATGTGTGTGTACGTGTGCAAGTTAACATTAATAATACGTAAAAGAAAATAATTGCCTAAAATTCAGTTGTTTTATCGAAATTAATGCATAAATACGCTTTTCCCAACGATAACGATCCACTGAGATGCGTATGAAGATAAAGGGAAACGATATTAAATCATGATAGTAAATCTCGAACAACACATTACAATACAGAAACTTTAAGTTTTATTATTTTCGGTGTCTTGAGACTCAGAATAAAACAGACGCTACGAACGTTATTATCAATGTGGACACACCTAAACGCGTACACACAAACACAGGGTGAATTTTTCATTAATTATACTAAAGATATTTAGATTAAAATTTGCATTAATTCTCAGATTAATTGTCAGGGCTATATAGTAATCTATTAACAGTTTAATTATAGTCACGAGTTTTCGGAGATTGTATTTTTCGGCCCTTTTTATGCCTATTGAATTTAAAAAAAAACCCTGATAAATTTGAAACAAACCTTTTATTTGGTCTTTATTTCATGCGTCGTGTCCCTTCAGGACGTAGACGATTATGGCCCTCCACATCTGCCTGGCCCTTGTAGCTCTTAATAAAGTTTGTCATTTTTGTTATTCTTTCTAAACCTCGTTTGCCATCCATTTTCTCAAGCCTATGAAGTATGTCACGCGCTGCATTCCTCTCTCCCTCTTTCCTTCAATCTGTCTCGTGAGTATCACATTTTCCAAGCCCTCCATCCTTATTATGTGCCCCCAAAATTTAAACTCCTCTTCCTGATGTTAAGTATGAGTTTCTTTTTGTTTTCATTCTCTCTAAACCTTATTGCTACTCATATGTTTGGTTCATGGTGTCCACAGCATCTTGCTGTAGAACCACGTTTCTTTTGCTTCAAGTCTTTTCCTCATCTTTTTGGAGATTGTCCAGCATCCTCTGATATCACGTAACATTTCAGTACCCTGTTTTTTGTTTCCAATAAAACGTTTCTGCCTCCCAATACTCTGTCTATCTTTTAAAATTCATTTTATTTGATCTACAGGATAATCTTTTTTTCACAATGGTATTCACTCTCGACAAAGTCCATGAGTCACTCGCTATAGACTTTCTTTTGTTTTTCTTTTTTGTTTTGCACAATATCAACCACTATGTGTCATTTAATGTTGAAATCTAAATATTTTGTATACAATATTATTCTTGTAATAATAATAATTTTAGTGATAGAAGTCTTACAAATTAACCCATACCTGGGGGAAAAGAATTAAATTCAAACCTTTCCTAAAGGTATTTACACGTATCTGAGTGTAATGAACCAAGCTGAAATTAGAATTCGAGATTCCGATTAACAGTTCCAAACCATTAATATTATATAATCCGCTCATCCAAACTGACAGAACTTGTTATTCCCAAGAGGTACTGACCAGGTTCGACGTTGCTTAACTTCGACGATCGTACGGGAACAGGTGTTTTAATGTAACTTAGCCATAAGCACTTGAGGTAAAGGATTACAGATTAACCCATTAACTGACAATTTTTATTTTAATGCGCATTTTTGGCCCAGACAGGTGCCTTAGGAGTTTATTTATTCCTTATGTTTAATTTCAGTAGTTACCATTGTCGTTTTTGTAGAAACTAGAACATCAAATATATATGTATATAAAACATCAAAAAATAATATTGATTAGAAATAATAAAAAATACTTTTTCAAAATAGTCATTATTTTTCTACTCGTGAAATGTAAAATTACGACAGAAAGTGTCTTCCTACGGTTTATAATAAAAACTTGAAAGGCTAAGTGTTGTAAAATATATCTCTGCAAATCTAATGTATGTAAGCAATTGAATGTACTTACAGGTGATAACATGTAGTGAGTTGAATTTTAACAGATCCCCAAATGGGGATCATGACAGGTAATGGGTTAAGAGACACAGATGCTGCTGGTATGTGGGGATGATAACGGTTATTACTAGACATGACCACAATAAGATTAGTGATCGGGAAAGCATTCTCTTAGGAGTCATTTCCACAAAACAGCTCTTTGTAATTCAACTGTCAATAGTAGGAGGTATATTGTAGCAGGTAATCATTTCTACTGTTGAAAACGTTTCGTTTTTATCACTAAATCAAAATATATGATTTACAATAACTGACCTACGAATTGATCACACGACTAATCAAAGACAAAATCTAAGCGTAATGTAAACTATCAACATTAGCGAATTGAATAAATGATTTGGTTTTGAATGTCCTAGAAGTTTAGCATGCACGAAACTGGTTCAATACACGAATGGAACAAATTTGGGCTCATTACGCTCAAATCAGAACTTATAATTGAATATATCAGCATATAAGAATTCCATCGATTGGAAGAATATTAAAAAGGGAGCGATTCCATGTTAGAAAGCACTAAAGTTGTTTTACTA